ACACACACACACACACACACACACACACACACACACACACACAGCTTTGTGGAATTATATGTTCTGCTCCCAAATCTTTTTTCACAGTAGGATTTTAGCGACTGTTGTTTAGTAGAAGAGTATCTTAGCTCTCGGCTGGAGGTAACAAACGATTCCAAATCCTTTGAAGTGAGAAATCAGCTTCTTGTTYTCGGCTCCAACAATCGCTCCTGTTCCAGCCTCATGTTTCATCTTTTGCTTTTCCTGCTTCAGGACTGATTACAGCAGAATGTATTAGTCAGTGTTTCCATCAGGAATCAACCAACATGAACCACAGGAAGATCTCAGACAAAAAAAATTACAATATAATGAGTCTGCAGCTGAAAGCAGAAGAACAGCTGCTTCATTTCTAATTGCTAAATCAAGATTTTTGTTGCAGAATATTACAAAAAAAGGACAAAATGGGCTTGAATATTGATGTAAACAGTAAATAATGTTCTGTCATTACTTCATGCTCCCATGACAAGCTGTACTGAAAACCCAGCATCAGTTTCAGCTCAGCAGATAACACTTGAGATAATAAACCATCAATATCTTACCTGTTTTTGATCTCAGTTTGGAGAAACATAAATTCAATCTGACCAGATCACAAAAAGACATTTGAACTTTAAAGTTTTAGAGTGGATACAGAAGGTTTTTTTTAGGATGGCAGCGATCTTGGTCTCATATTTACGAAAAACTTGTCAGTTTAGTCTTAATTTGTTTTTCTCCGAACTGAGGCCGAGCTATTTGCAAAATAAATATGTAAACATTCAAAACATAAAGGTTTTAATTTTTGCTTTGAACAAATTAAGTTTTGAAACTGAACTGTAGCCACAAAAATATCCTCCACTTGTAAAAGTTAATTATCGAAAACCCCAAACTGAAGCATTTCCATCAAAAGTGGACATTTCAAGTATTTAAACAATTAGCTTTAGCTTTTATTTCCACATTACCATCAAAATAACTTTCCATCTCCTTTTCAAAGAGTTATAAATTTGTACATAGAGCTTCTGAGCAGCAGAGGTTATATTTTAAGATGTTTCAATCGTACCCCTGTTATACACCAGCTTTTCTAGTTACGCCATTTTGCACAAAATTTTCATCAGAATTGTTGCAAAAACAATTCATTTATGGAAGCAAAGCGTTTTAAATGTTGTTTTTTTAAAACCAAGCTTCTGAAAACTGAAGCTAATGTGGACAAGTGCAACRTATGCAACAACAAACAACATTTATTTTGTCCAGATATTAAATACTAATAAATGTTGAATCACCTGCTGGGTTTTCACATTCATRCATTTCAATAATCAAATATTTTCTTTTTAAGTTGTTTCCTGTGACCTGAATGTAATCAATAACAACGAAAGTTTAAAAACTGGTAGATGAAAGAAATCTCAGACATATATTCTCAGTGTTTGCTTCCTTTGGTTGCAGAAAAAGGAAAAAAAAACTGAAAACCTCTTTGCAATCAGGGAATTGAACGCCAACGCTCTGACGCCTGCTCCATCCRCCCACCACCACCACCCACACGCCCCGTAGCTCACACTAACGCTCGCCGCTGCAGCAGCTGGGCGAGGTGCAGGTTCCTCAAGCTGCTGGTGGATTTCTCATCTCAGCATGCCAAGTCATTGTGCCAGTTGGCCTTGCCAGCATTCATTAGGTGAAACGGTGAAAACGCTGCCCTCAGTGGGGGGTATATGGTGCAGCTTTTGAACAATCGATACCAAAAACCTCCAGCGTGGAACTGCCCTTTAGCCACGGGCAGAGTCTCCTCTGTCAGAGGAGCTCAGCGGGACGCCGCCTCCATATGAGTCCTGTGTTTCTAACGGCAGCTGTCTCTACTAACTCTGGTCTCTGACAAACACCCAGCAAYGTTCACCCTCATTCAAGACTGAGCCTTCATGTGTTATTAGAAATTAAAACCTCTTYTTTACCTGGTCTAAGAGGGACAATTAGTACGGAGCCCACAAGGGGACATGGGAAAATTGTTTTTTTCTTTTGCATTCCCTCACAAAAGTTGTTTATCTCTAGTTGTGTTTCCATCCAGTTGTAGAGTGAATTTTAACGAACTTTTCAAAATTCGCAAAAAATTAAATAAATAAAAATTCGAATCTAGACTGTTTCCATCTAGTTTCCCTCTCGACTGTTTGATGCGAATAAACGAGGCTACGCAACGCGTGATTACGTCAGACGAGGCTACGCAACGCGTGATTACGTCAGACGAGGCTACGCAACGTGTGATTACGTCAGACGAGGCTACGCAATGCGTCATTATGTCAGACAAAGCTACACAACGTGTGATTACGTCAGACAAGTCTACGCAACGCGTGATTACGTCAGACGTCGGCGACAAGCTTTGCAGTAGTAAACAGGAAGTAAAACTTGCTAACTAGCAGAGGCTAATCATCTCGGGACAATGGAGCGATTTTTTTTTCATGAATGCCTTGCTCTTGGGCAAGTTGTAATTATTCTATCTATTCATCTAGTACAGGCTATGTTTAACGCTGCCAGGAGACGTAGGGAAATAAACGCAATGTTAAACTACGCAGCAGAAAGGCGAGGTCGAGGGACGAGGCAGGAAAGCAGAAACAGCTGAACGTCACGTGAGGTAAATATGCACTACGTCAGAATTTCTTTGGCAAAAGTGTTTCCATCTCCCATTTTGCACATTAACTATTTTGCGAATCATCCAAAAACCACCTCAAGCGAGCGTAAAAACTTTTTAGTGAATTGAGGATTTTTTTCTTTGAATTTTGCTGTTTCCATCCAACTTTTTTTTCACATCTTTAATGAGACA